GGAGTCTATCAAGAGGCAAGCAAAAAGTTGGAGTTCAACCGGTCTAATGAAATTTCACCGGGCGGTACTTTACCCAGTCAAACTCATTCAAGTTGATCATCAAGGTGAAGGCATTCAACAAAGAAGGTCGCGGTTCTACCGGTCAACAACAATCAGATTTCAAATAATCGAGGTTGTTGCATTCTGTACCGATAAAAGGCAAAAGCAAAGTATCAATCCGGGCAAAATCAGCCGGGTAGAATGTTAAATGTTTACATGGTACACCGGGCAACCGGTTGTTTTCCTCCTTGAGCTGAGAGGTTTCAGCCTTCATCGTCCTAGATAGCCGAATCAGCTCATCAGCCTGGCTCTTCAAAATTAGGGTCATCTCTTCTTTTTCCTTCTTCAGCCGTGCAATCTCTGAAGGATGGCCCATCCCAAGTTGTTCAGCCGTATGAGGCCTGACCTCCCCCGTCTAAACATAAATAGGCAACCCGGTTAAACTATCATGACACATGGGAAGACGGAGGGGCACGACCTTTTGAAAAGCCAAAAGAGTCGGAACGGGGGTCCTGTTTTCAGACTTTTTACTTCCCGCTCATGACAAATTGCATGACCGAGAAGTGGAGGGCTTATTGATGGGTGTATTCCACCCATGACCGGTCAAAGGAAGAGACCAGATAGTTGACCGGTCAATCTTGAAAGTTAAGGAGAAGGACTTTAATCATCAGCTAGAGGACACTCAAATCGGTCAAAAGATGACCGGTATACTTTAGAAAAGTATACCGGTCAAACTATTACATGGTTCCATTCATCCTTGTTGATGGGTGTATTCCACCCATGACCGGTCAAAGGAGAAGACCAAATAGTTGACCGGTCAATCTTGAAAATTCTGGAAAGGGAGACTTTAATCGTCAGCAAGTGGGTATTTGATCGGTCCGAATTTGACCGGTGTACTTCGGGAAAAAGTATACCGGTCAAACTACTTATCACTCCATTCATTCCCTAAGTACGATAAACTCATCCCTCAGAAATTACCCGGTGTAGTTTCTAGGGTTGGAAAGTGTCGGCAGA